ACTGCAAGTGTCCAGAGTGAGGACAGACTGAGGGACCCACTGCTGCACATCATCTGTGAGGCTTTGCACCCCTGATGATCCACCAAGACAAACTCAGCAGTGTGTGAGGAAGAGGAGGAGGAAGAGCCAGCAGCCAGTTGGGTGCTACCACAGGTGCAAAACGTTTCGTCAACATTGTAAGTTTTCTCCCCAACAAATGCAACAAACACACAGTGCAGCACTTCAGAGTCTGCTGGTGATCGATGTAGCGATTCTGTACTGTCCAGGAGAGCACAGCATGACCACGTTATAGCGAGGGACCGCTGTAATTGTGAAGATTAGTCACAACATACCCTTCATGAATACTAACATATAGAGACCCTGACCAGCAATCATTCACATATTTTTTTATATCCTGGCACTTTTTTCACGGCTTCTTGACATGCTGTGTAGGTGTGTACTGATATCGACATAACGGGGAAACATCTGGCTTTGACTCTTGTTCACCTGTAGTTTGAATGCTCAACATTTGCCTGTTTAAATCACAAGAACTGTCACTATACAGAGATGTGTCTTCTGCTGCAGTAATGCAGTTCTGCTTGTGTTGAGTGATGTAAACAAACAATCGATCTACGCTCTTCAAACATCAAAACTGATCATTAGATTTTTTTAATGACACAGCAGTGGTGAGTGTTCCCACCCTTTGCTCTTTGCAACTTAACGTAATCTTTCTGTTTTCATGTTTTGGACATGATTTTGGAGTCCACCTTCGCAGTAGCAATTGACTGCAAAATAAAGCTACCGGAAATGTACAACCCTACAGGAAGTTAGCATTTTCTCGTGCACAGGGTCTGCAGAGAGGTGTATTGACTGCAGCCTTAACGGTCCTCAAGGGCCGCGCACTCAAAGGCCCCTGAGGCCGGAAGTGCGAGGCTTGTAGGCTTGTGAAATGGGACAGTCTAGCCTGCCCAGGTTGCCTAGCAACCATGATACTAACAGCTGGAAACATTTCATACAGCTGTGTTTGACAGAAATGAAGGAGAACATATTTTGTACATTTGTTTCTACATGAGCTTTGTGTGATTAGTTGAGTATCTGAGGCTGAGACCACAGGACTGTAAACATGATTGTTGGGCTTCATTTCTGTACTGAGCAGTCATTTAAGATTAGCTAGTAAATAACAATTAACTCATGTTGTTCATGAGACTAAAGTCATCTCACTTTGGTAATGTGGCCAATATTATAGTTATTATATTAATCATTATTAGTTATTACAGCAGTGAGTTTGAACTCCGTGTCAAACACTGAGCTTCAGTAAAGATTCAAGTTGCATTTATTTATATTTCCTATCACCTTAAATCTTCACTCAAAGACAAGTATCTGTGACAGTGTGTATATAGATGTATTATATATAAGAGACAAATATTGTTCTTTTAATATGTTGGCATTACTAAATTTGGCTCAATGCTTACATATATGTGTAAAAAGAAAATGTACGAGCTGTGAAAACTGTTTCTGATAAAATGAAGAGTAGACTGATATATGAAATATTCCTTTATTGGGTGAGAAAATCAGACCATGTCATAACTGCTTTAAGTCATACAGAATAGATATCAGAGCCTTAAACAGGCTGACTTCTGTTAAATGGGTCAAACTGGGCAGAAAGTACAAACACATAACATCCTTATAGAATATGATGTAACACTATAGATCAACTTACCTCAGAATATATAAAGCATATAAACAATTACAGCAATATGATGCAACAAACACAGCAGCTACTGATCCAAAATACTCAAAGCTTCATAGAACTGGAACCAACATTTATTTTAGCTCCATTCTGCTGCTGATACAGACTTTAGGTTTCTGAACATTAAACTTGTTGCTGCCTTTCATAGTGTGTAACTTGAAGGCCCTGAGTACTCTGAGTACTTTCTCCCACACTGGAAACACTGGGATGATCACATTATTTGAACATTACCTAATAAGACTGATTCAGCACAGACAGTTATGTTAAACTTTCCTAGCAGTCCTTCACAAACAGGGAACAGTCTGTCTATTCTCTCCATCTGTCAGCTGCTGCTGGCTCTTCCTCCTCCTCTTCCTCACACACTGTTGAGTTTGGTGGATCATCAGGGGTGCAAAGCCTCACAGATGATGTGCAGCAGTGGGTCCCTCAGTCTGTCCTCACTCTGGACACTTGCAGTTGTCACACATGGAAATCAAATGTGTGATAAGCTGCAGGATTCAAACACAAGTGTAACTTATAAACACATGTTCATACTTTTATTCCACAATCAGAGAGAAAGAAACAGAGAGAGAGTGCAGGACAGACAGACAGGTGACAGTCTCAGCTGTACACACTGCTACAAACAGGAGGATTTAGTGTTTGTGTTATTACGAGTGCTAAACAAGAAGAGTTCCCAGATGGTACAGTGGACACATGTGTGACTGCTGTGATTAAAGCATCTTTCTTTCAGCTTAACGAGTGAACCGTCAGCTCGTTCAAACACACGTTAAAGTCCGTTTGGCTCGACACCACCGAACAGAGGCAGCAATATAACATAGCTAACATTAACAGTGCAGTGAATCCTGCTTGTGCCGTGATGTTCAGGACTGCAAACCGAGCAGCATCACTGACTTTCAGCTTGTTGTGTTTGTGGATATATGACTGACTTTAATTATCCACAAAATCATCTCTATAAGATTAAGGTCGAGTATCTAACGGCGTATAAAGTAAAAGCTTTAAAACAAAGTAAACGCTGAAAGTACAAACATGGCTAATGTCACAGAACTTTGCCCACGTGTGGCCAACAGTAATGTTTTAATGTTCTTCATTATTTATAACATTTATAACATTTGCATATAAATAAGTGACATCATATTCAGTACTTACTTTTAAAAGTTTACTCTTCGGCCGCTCCGCTTCCGCCGTTTTTTTCGGCAAAATTATCCACACCCACCGCCGCGCTATGAAGTCTGGGATATTCTGAATCCATAATCCTGATCTGTTCTGTCATGCAAATGGACTCAACCATGCAAGTGAACTTGTTAGGGCTGAAAATTATTACATTGTTTATAAAATTATTAAATAAGCTGTTTTATTATTTTATTCATGCACAATGCAAATGTGCTGATAAATGTGCTGGCGCTCCGTGTTTGAGGGTTAAAAGCTTCGTCCAGTGCTACTGTCTGGATTTGAAATATTGAAGCTGACGCAGAGTGCAGAGGGTTTTGCAGAGGCTTACACATGGTCTGATAATGGTCTCTGGGTCAGGGAGTCTGAACAGCGTCCTGAACTAGACCTTACAATCAGCAGTAGGATGATGTTAGATAATAAAGACTATGCAGGGTGTGCTCTTTGTTTGTTTGTTTTCAGGAATGAGAGCAGATAAGAGATCGGACGTGAACAGATGGGAGGATTTGCAGCAGACTGCCACGTTTGGCTCTGGGAGAAGATCGCCATAATAATCTCATGTTACTGTAACATTATATAAACTGTTGTAGGCTGCTGTGTCACACTGGGGTCCGGCGCTGTAAACTTGTCATTTCAACTGCTGAAGCAAATTGAATCTTTTTAAATGACAGATATTTCTCCTGAATTCCTTCTGAAAATTTGGAACAGGACAGACTCGTGGATGCACCACAGGCTCTGTAAACAGATCTGTTATAGAGCCTGTGGTGCACACTCGGGTAAATCTGGTCCAGAGTCACTTTGCTATCTGGGGAGAACCGAGAGAACCTAACAGCTGGAAAGCATGTCTGTTAGCTGTGCCACTGCAGCTGCTCCCAGATAAAGATGATAACACTACAAACATTTGTATAGTTCTGTTTTATCCTTGTTATTGTGGCATATTAAGTGTAGGTCCACTATGCAAACTTAGACAACAAAACACGCTAAAATGCATTTGCCAACAAACATGACAGTGACTGTATCTCACTGTAGGACCACCAGTGGGGAATTACAAGCTTCCCCTCATCATAAAATACATTTTAAAACAAAGTGTGTTCCTATAAAAACTCCTGCTCCCACAAAACCTGCTGCCAAATTTAGACTATATCAGCTCCACATCTGTGAGGCGAGTTACAAACTTTAAGCCCCATTTTTGTGGAGAAAAGAGTTTGTGTCCACATCACGAGACCAGAGAAAATGAACAATCTTTTACTTCTGCAAAATTCTACATGAGAGATCAAACCGTGACCGGCTGAGGCATTTTCACCACAAACACACTGATTGTGGAGGACTGTGTGTAATACAATACAAGTGTTATTTGTCACATACACAGTACCGGATATAACGAAATGCTTGGACAGGCTGCGGACGTAGCTGCGCCACGTAAGAGCTTGTTTTTTTTTTTTAGCATGGGGGGGGGTCTAGCCAGGACCCTTACTGGATACCGGATGATGGGAATCGAACTTGTGACACCCGATCCAAAGGTCGCTCCACTACACTACCCGGTGAGATCAGATTCACCATTAGTCACTGTGACCTGTGCACAAAGGAAGCTGTTGAAGCCTGCACAGGGCAAAGTTAGACAGCAGGCGCACTTATGACTTTATGCATCTGGCTTCTTAGCAGCAGTTACATGTGAAATATCACAAGCTCACCTTTGCTTTCACGGACTCTTCAAACTCAGATTCGTCATTATGAACTCCACGCTGCTCCACGTTTGGGTTGAGCTGATGCAATACAGTCCACGTCCTTGTTTTTGTAGCTCTGTATGAGCCGTGGAAAATAAAGTTGGGGGGGAAAGTTGTGGAAACAGGAAGTGATGTTATAGTTACGTTCAAACTTGGCGATGGAAGAATCTTACTCTGCTCTGTGGTGTGGCCAGGTGCTGGTGCTGCTGTGACTGTTGTTGAATCAAGAGTGAAAAACATATTATATATGTTTTTTTTAAGATAACTTGTTTTAGCGACACGTGTATGCTAGAAAAAGATCCCAGCCAGCAGATGTAACTATAAAAGAACTGCTGTCAGCCTAACAGGTAAATTACAGTAAGGTAACTTTGAAGGAGACAGTTTGTGCAGGAGCTGTGTGGGTTGTAGCGTCAGGGTCAAACGACACTGTAGACATGGCTGTCTGCACAGAAGAATAATCAGACACGAGAGAAAGATCCAAAAAGCACTTCCTGTCTGAGCCAGCTGCTCACTGTGGACCACTGAGCTAACCATTCAATCTAATGCATTATTTCTACGTGCGCAGCGATGTTCCCGTTGAAGGGAAGGAAGGCTGGATTCAGAAAAATATCTCCCCTGTATCCGGTTGTTCCCGTTAATGTTTAACCAGGTTGCCTCTGACAGGTGACAGTTCACCGACCCATAAAGCAGCACAGCGGGCCTCAGATCCATCTGTAGGACGTGTGCAGATCCACAAAAACGGAACCAAACTCCAGTGACTGACTCAATAACCTGCAGCGTCTACAACCTTCATCCCTCCAGCTCAGTGTAGACAGTAGGTCTGCCGGCAGCACAGCGCCCTCCTGTGTCTGCTGTCTGTATTACAGTATAATACTGTGTATGTGGAAACTGACAAGTTAAATGCAGGGAATAAATGATTGAGCCAAAAACATCCAGGAGCTCTGTTTATTGGAAGCTTGTGTATTAGTTTCAACTTCAATAAAAATAATCAAACGGACAATATGTAAATAATTACAAATTTAAATAAGTAAAAACATGATGGAATCGAATTTATTGCAAAAAGGGCACACTTGATCACAGGCCATGCTCTGAAGCCGCATCAGTGCCAGTTTCTATCCTTATGTGGAGTCGGTGTTGTTATCGGAGTCGGTTCTTTGGTGACGTCAGTGAGCAGCTGACTTTATTTCTCAGCCACAGTTAGGTGATGATGCTCAGTGTTGCTGCTGCGAGCTGAAGACGAGCGTCGTGTCCAATAAAGACTCAAACTGCCCAAAATAAGTGTTAGAAACAGAGAAGACAAACTTTCAGCTACTTTTACATGGAAGCTAAATCTTTTTTGCCTCCAACCTCATGTCTACGTGCATGTGATCATCACAGATTTGTGCTTCACATTAAGCCGAGCTCTTTGCACAGATACGGATCGTTGGCGTAAAAGACGGCGATCATTTTTGAACTTGCTTCAGCTCCTTTCTTTCGCACCATGTCGATCAGGTCTCGAGCTTTCTCGCCTCTCGGTTTGGCTCTGGCCGCTTCGCCCTCAGCATCAGTTAGCACGGTGACGTGCTGCAGCTCGTCCAGCAGCTTGTTCAGAACCGGATCCGACACTTTATCGACGAAGTTTGTGCGAGCGAGTCGCAGCTTCTCTGCTGAGGCGCTGTTCCCCATCTGAAGAGGACTTCCACCTGGAGAATCAGCCGAGGATGAAGCTGAAAAAGTACGTTTAGAGTCAGAAACACAGTGAGCACATTTCAGTGCAACATTTCTACAAATCAGATCAGTGAATCTGAGCAGGACAGCAGGTTGGATCTCTGTCAGGTTTCAGTTTGTGCTGAGTTAAGGCTCACCGGGCAGATGAAGGTCGTGCTCCCACACTCGTGTCTCCTCGGGATCTTGCACCATCAGCATCACTTCCTCTGCGTTCGCTGTCAGGATGATCTCAAAGGTCGGGTGGTAATTTGGTCCGTAATTTTCAAAAAACTCTGCACGCTGAAGCGAAATGGAAACAATTTAAAACAGCTTTGTGGACAAAGTGTCTGCTGACACTCAGCGACTGATACTCACTGCAGGCTGTATTTTAAAGTGGTGCGGGGCGCTGCTCAGACTGTACTTTTGACCTTTGTGGAAATAACAGAAGGACGGCGCTTCGATGTGCTCTGAAGCAGCGTGCTGCACTTTCACCTTCAGAGACATCACAACATTTTCTTAGTGCATGAATAGTTTCAGAGCTTCAAAGCAAACAGATATAATCAGAGGATTTATTCATGCAGAAGCCATTTAATGATTTCATGATAAAGTCATACGTCGTGCAGAGGGACGTTTCCTGGGAGCAGCATCACACTGAGGATGGGGCGTGGCCTGTTTCTCAGGAAGAGCAGGACTTGGCCACGAACGGGTTTCGTCATGTAATTGAAAAACCGCTCAACGAGATCCCAGACGAGGCCGAAGGCGGAGAGGTGAGGGACGTCCACGACCACGTGAGTCTCAGTGATCTCCAGAGGCTGTATGATGCTCATGCCATCATCCGTGATGTGGACCACAGAGATGCTGTCAGAGACCAGTGCTGGGAAAACACACAGCTTCGTTCACTGCAACAGCCTCCACAAACTTTCCATGGAAAGCAAATCAGAGCATTTTCTGCAGGTTTAATTCTCCTTCAGGTGTTTCAGTGGCGTCCTTACCCGGCTCAGGCTCACAGTGTGGGAGGTGCAGCTGACGTATAGAGTCCCGAAGACACTCGATGCCGAACAGCGGGCCTCCGGCCACTTTGTGCGCTGGTTGGAGGACCAGAGGATCCCAGATCAGAGTCTTGTAGGTGACCTCACTCTCACGAGTCACATCAAAGACCAGACCAGTCAAAGAACACTGGAACAACCCTGAACCGGGAAACAGGAACCTGAACAACACAGAACGGTTCAACATGGAGCTCAATGCTGTAGCTGTTAAATTCAGTCTAATTTCTGTTTGTATAGCTATTCGTCTCTAATGTGCTTTCAATTACGAAGTAAAAACCCTACAATATTAGCGAGAGAACTGAAATTCTAAAATGATGCTCTTGGTGATCATGAGAAGAAATAACTTTTAACAGGAAAGGCTGCTGACAGAAGCAGCTCAGGGAGGTGCAGCTACCCATGTGACTGGGTGGAGCTCAGACAAGGTTGGGTGTGGTCATGGCGGTGACTAAATGTCTTCCTATTAGTTATTATTAACCTGGGAATAAGAGGACATTTCCAGATAACAGGGATTGAAAACTGCCAGCGTTAAACAACAAACACAGAAGAACGCAGGAGGAACTTTCAGCTGTGTGACCAGAATGTAAGTGTGTGGTCAGGACAAACATGAGAGTGAATGCTATACCAGTTCACTTAATGCGTACAACAAGCAAACCTGCGTCTTTACTATGAGTAGATACACCTGCCACCACATGGATGAGATGATAAACTTCTACTGTGCAGCAACATTAACTAGTGTTTCCTGTTTCAGCTGTTCATCAGCCCTTTGAGGGCGGGGTCAGGATACTGTTAGTAAGACATTGGTAAACCATGAAGCATAAATAAATATAAAATCATACATTTTCACTACAGGTCTGCTGGGAGGGTAAAGCTCTGAACATATTTAATAAGCACTGAAAGCAAGACTGAACCTTTTGCAACTGAGGGCACGTTGACAGGGTCTACAGTGAGTCTGAACACACTTTAAGACCAGCACAATCTGACGATCACACATTTTGTTAATGCTTTTCTTTGACTGCACTCTGTGTCCAAGTTTAAAGTGTAGAGTGGGCACATCGAGGCTTGCGTGTCGTACCTGTATGAAATGCCTGTTCTTCCTTTGCTCATCTCAGGTGTGAAGCTTGAACGAGTCTAAAAATCCAGAGAAGGCAAGTAAAATATTTTCTCCAGTCACACAAACTTGTGACACCATGAGAGCACCGAGAATACTCACAGTTTCCATCTTCACCACCCTGCACAGGGTCACAGAGGATCCTAAACGAACTGTGAATGCTGGGTAGAGAGGCTCGCTGAACGTGGTGTGGAAGGTATGAATGAGAGTTTTTCTGTCGTCAGACACCAAGTAGAAGGACAGAGTGCCGGCCGGCCAGTCCAGAAACAGTCCCAGTCTCTTTGGAGTGACCAGGAAGGCTTGGATGTCAACGTGAGGGACCCGTATAAAGGTTTCCTTAAGGTTGTGTCGGAAGGAGTAACCCTTCACTGAGGTGATACTGAAACACCAGCTTCTGTCACTACGGTCAATTTCTGTGTCCCAGCGTCCCTTCCTCGGCAGGCTCTTATATGCAACACCAATATTCACAAACGCTTCCCAGTCCACCTCCCAGTAGCAGCGCCCAGTCAGAGCCTCTCGACACAGCACCTGACTAACTTGGTCAAATCTCTCTGGATGATCAGGATACGACTGCTGTTCATCAGTGCAGCTCACGTTCCTGTCACACTCAGACAGAAGCAGGTTTTTATTCACAGTGTTGGGGTCGAATGTGAGATCACAGGCATCTGTGAAAGAGATGCAGTGAGTGAAGCTTCAGCTCAGTCGATGTTACAGAGAAACTCAGTGACACTTACACTTGTTCAGAAGCTGTGGGTCGACCCAGTGCTCTTCATCGTGGTCCACACTGAGGCAGAAGAGCAGAAAGGTCTCAGCTTTGGAGCAAATAAAGAGACGTGAACTTTAAAGCATGAACGTGTGATGTGAATGTAAACAGAAAATCTTTGGAACATGATCACATGTTTTAAAATGTTTCACGTAAAGTAAATCTCAGCCTGGTCTGCTGACGGGGACACCAGGACCTGCTACAATCTCCTCGCTCCTTACTACAGCCCAGGTTAACTGAGTGCAACATCACTTAACTTCATAGCTGCAGAGGTAACAGCGACTGAAGTCAGGTCACATTGGACTGTTGTTCAACATGTTCACCTTAGCTTTGGACTTATCAGAGAAGCACTGAGACAAGCTGCTGGACCAAAGAGGACCCCCATGTGGTGCTATGTTGGGGTCAAACTAGTCTCGAGTCCCTGACACAGAAATCAGTCCACAGACTGTTGAACACAACCAAGAGAGTCGATGAAGGTCTGCAATCAGCTGGTTAAGCAGTTCTAGTTATACAGCAACATTTTCTGGATAACCACCCACATATTAGAAAAAACGTAGTTTAGGGAGCTATATATAACCTGTATATACTACACAGTGTACCGACTTGAGCGTTTCCAGTCTACATTCTGGGTCTTCCAGTCGCTCCAACAGCAGTTTCACTCCTGACACACCAGGATGGTTGTAGCTCAGGTCCAGCTCTCTCAGGTGGGAGGGGTTGGACTTCAGAGCTGAGGCCACAAAGACACAACCTTCCTCTGTGATCCCACAACATGACAGCCTGGAGAGAAAATGGCTCTTACTAAAGCAAAAGGCTTTGCTACTCTTCACCGTTACCACACATGTTGCAGAGTATTTGGACTCCATGGAGCTCGAGCTGCCAGCAGTACCTCAGTGTTTCCAGGCTACAGTTTAAACTCCCAAGTCCAACAGACAGCAGCTGCACACCTAGATCCTTCAGGTCGTTGCGGCTGAGGTCAAGCTCTCTCAGCTGGGAGTTGGAGCTGAGAACGGAGGCAAACACCTGCCAGCAGTTATTTTTCAGGAAACAACCAGGCATGCTGCAAACAAAGCAAAACATCTGCACATCATAACCTGCAGAGAGAAAATGAAAGATGATCCTTGCACTAACTGCAGGTACCTGAACCGCTCCAGTTTACAGACTGGACCAATCAAAGCCGAAGGAATCACAGTCAGCAGGTGTGACTCATCACTGAAATCTCCACGGTTTCCAGTGGTCTTCACGTCATTTGTACAATATCCACTGTAATCCTCTGAATAACTGCATAAGCAGTTAATCAAATGAAGTGCCGTCAGAGGTGACGGGTCTGATCGAAGGACAGAAACCAGTCTGTGACAGTCGCTACAGTCTAGAGAAAACCCAGATAACCTGTGCGAAACACACACCAGTTAGAAATAATGTAGAGACGACTGTTTAGATGTACTGAGGTCATTTACCGTAGTTTAGTCCTCGTATGATACATGACTGTAGTTACATAAAGATTTCAGATTTTGAAAGAATTTTAACCTGAAGAAACAGTTTAAACTGACCTCAGTGTCTCCAGTTTACAGTCAGGACCTTCCAGTCCAGCAAAGAGATCAGAAGCAAAACCATCACTGACGTTAGAAAAATACACCAGGCTGAGCTCTGTTAAACAAGAGTCCGCTGACTGAAGAACGGACAGGAGCACGTCGAAGCAGCCTTTGCTTAACTGATCGTTCATGAGTCTGCAGAATCAGAAGAAAAGCACAAATATTTATTCACCTACAGTTATTGGTTTATTTGCAAATAAATAAATAAATATAAAAATCCCAGATAATCATAGAAAGTACTACAATGTGGTTTTATGTGTTTCACACCTGATGTATTTCTACTTTAAATCTAACAGAGCTTCCATCAGGATCATTTCTGTTTCACTCTTTGTGGTGTCACAAGTTTGCTTGAAAATTCCACAAATATTTGAAATAATTTTTCCGATGTTTTTGTTTCCTTTTTTTTTTTTGACACAGTCCTTGACTGTTTAATATTTACATAAAATGTTGATGGACTACAAATCAAACCGAGTTGGATGGTTCAAATCTTTGTACATGACATTAACTGTGAGATTTAATCAATAAAACGTTGAGCCAAACAGTAGAAGCAACACTGAGCAACAATGTGTTTCTGGAAGTTTGGAAATTTGTCAGAGAGAGTTGTTGCAAAACCAGCAAGATTGCATTTGACACAAAGCTAATGTGATCTCTTAGTTTTGGCTGTTTGATGGAAATAAATTCAAACATCCATCGTCTCTCTTCCAGGGTCGCTGGGCGCTGGAGCCTATCCCAGCTGTCTTAGGGCGAGAGGCGGGGTGGACCCTGGACAGGTCGCCAGTCTGCCACAGGGCTACCACACAGAGACAGACAACCATTCACACCAATTTAGATTTTTCCCATTAGTCCCACTAACTGCATGTCTTCAGACTGTGGGAGGAAGCCGGGGTACCCACAGAGAACCCACGCAAAGACGCGGAGAACATGCAAACTCCACACAGAAAGACCCCTGATGGTGGAACTGAACTCAGGACAGTTTAAACACATTGAATATTTTATTTTAAATATCATGTGAACTACTTACACAGCCTTCTTGCAGTTCTTCATTTGCTGGACAAGTTTCTCAGTCCCATTAAACGGTGTGACAGAATTCGTCAGATCAAGTTCCTCGAGCACTTCCCCTGATATCTGCATCATGGTCGACAGCACTGCACAGTCGATGGTCGAGAGTCTCGCTCCTGAATCCAGATACATTCTGATGTCATCCTGAAATCTCTCTTCCTTCAGCTCAAACTTGCAGAGGAAAAGGTTCATGTACCTCTCTCGTGGGATGTCTTTGACATGGAAATTCTTCAGGTATCCCTTCATCTCTTCGGTGGTGTCCGAGCTGCTCTTTACCTGTGGCAGTAAACCCTGCAGCACTGTTTGATTGGACTCCAGAGAAAATCCAAGGAAGAAACACAGAAACAGATCTAACTGACCTTTCTCACTTTGCAAGGCTTTATCCACAACCTTTTTCTGCAAATCCAGAAAGCTCAGATCTGTCGGGTCGACACCCAGGAAAGACTTCAAAGTACTGAAGTTGTCCGTCAGGATGCAGTGGTGCATGTAGAGAGCTGCAAGAAACTCCTGAAAGCTTAAATGCACAAAGCTGAACATCTTCTTCTTGTACAGGCCTCGTTCTTCCTTAAGAATCTCTGAGCAAAATCCACAAAACACTGATGCTTCACCAACATCGATGCCACTTTCTGTGAGGTCCTCTTCATAGAATATGATGTTTCCTTTCTGCAGCTGTTCAAATGCCAACTTGGACAAGTTTAAAAGCATGGCAGAGTTCTGGGCTTGAGACTTCTTCTGTTTGGACCTCTTCTTGGAGCTTTTCCCTGCATATTTCTGTCTCGTTCTTTGTGTTTGAATTAGTAAGTAATAAATGTACAGCTCTGTCATCGTTGTGATGCCGCGGCTCCTCTCATCACTCCATCCTTTCCTAAACACCTCAGCGATGATCCAGCAAAACACTGGGATATGGCCCATGAAATAGAAGCTGATCATTCCTCTAAGACGAGACAGGATTTCTTCTGCCTGATTAGCAGTGCTGAATCTCTTCCTGAAGTATGACTCTTTTTGTTGCTCAGTGAAACCTTGGACTTCTGTCATCTGGTCAATGTATTTAGAAGGTATCTGACTGGCAGCTGCAGGTCTGGATGTTACCCAGAGCAGAGCGCGAGGCAGCAGGTTGCCTTGGATGAGGTTGGTCAGCAGCACATCGACAGTTGATCTTCGATCTATTTCACTTATTCTCACAGCTCCATCAAAGTCCAGTGGAAATCTGCTTTCATCCAAACCATCAAAGATGAACAGCACTTGCTTGTGAACAAGCTGCTGTGTAGCTTCTAGGGGTTTTATTTCAGGGTAGAAGTGAAGGAGAAGCTGCTGCAGACTGTAGTTGGCATCTCTGAGCATGTTCAGCTCTCTAAAGGGGAGCACAAAGATGAAATCAATGTGCTGGTTAGATTTTCCTTCTGCCCAGCTTAGAGCAAAGTTTTGGACAGCAAATGTCTTTCCAATGCCAGCGATGCCTTTCGTCATCACTCTTTGGATTGTCTTGTCTCTTGTTGGTTGTTGTTGAATTCTTCCTGGTTTAAAGATATTTAAGAAATCGATCTGTTTATTGTTCACCTGTGAAAACGATGACTGCAGATGTGGGACATTAAAGTGATCAAGAATCTCATGTGGTCTGGAACCAGAATCCTGAACCTGCTGAGTGACGTAGAGTTTTGTGTAGACGCTGTCAAGTCGAGACCGACTATCCGATGTGCCCTCATTTATCCAGGTAAACTTTTCCTGGAGATGCTCTTTAAGCTTTTGTTTAACACTCTCCACGACTTCATCCTGCTCCATGTTTGCAGCTCTGTCTCCTCCACACTTCTTTCTGCTCCTGCCTCCTCTTGTCCTTTTGTCTCTGGGATCCTAAAATGAATATAAAACCTGAAAGCAAGGAGAAAATAAAATGTACTTCCTCGAGCACCACAGTGTAATCGTATCAGTCAGCCTTTACTTCTTTAAACTTCTTTTCCCTCCATAGTTAGTTAAATGGTAAATGGCACACACTGGTGATGGCAGCTACATTGTAGCCACAGCCTCCCTGCGGCGCACTGACAGAGTTCTACATTCAACACATGCATGAGTGTCTCTGACACAATCCTGAGACTCACAGCGGCGCTACAAGGAACCATTTAGGCCTTGTTCTTGTTACCATCTACACAGCAGATTTCCTGCACAGCAGTGACAG